TCTCTCTCTCTCTCTCTCTCTCTCTCTCTCTCTCTCTCTCTCTCTCTCTCTCTCTCTCTGGTTTTATTTTCCAGCGGTGTTGAATCTGTCAGTCATGAAGTGCCTCCTGTGCTGTCTTCCAGGGACTGACTCAGTCACCTAACTGAGCATAGTTTGTAATTCAGGTCTAGCTACAAATCAGCGGTGCAGTGGCCAAATGCAGGTCGGTGCCTGAGCTTTGCCGTTGGTGCCTGGCTACTCAACCCTCAGAGTGGAGGGATGTGGTCTGCACTCATCGCTGGATGACTCAGCCTTCTGTGCATGTTGAGGTGATGTCAGAAGCCGCATCTTCCTTGATAGACTGAAAGAGCAGAATATCTGCTCACTGCTCCTTCTGAGTGTTGAAGATAGTGGAACATACTTAGCTTGGGGACATACCTCACTGTTACCCTCATATTTGTTCCCTCTGTTTAAAACTGAGCTTTTGAGAATATCAATAGACAAGAGCTGGTATAAAAATATGAGCAACTCTGGTTGGAGAGAAATGGAGAGACGGGAGCTGAGAACTGGAGGGTGGAGACAGATGGGCTTAAGAGCTGTCAAGGAGAATCTAGGATATTTTTAAATGATTTTATTAATACTTTAGAAAATTTAAGTGAAATTGGAGTGATGAGATAATCTACAATTATTGAATTACACAAATTGATTTGTGTCAAGTGCATCTGTTGAGGAAAGAACATTAGAAGGATACTAATATTAAGTAATTATATCTTAAAGCCAAACGACCTTATGAATACATTTTCAAGGTGTTATCAAGGAGGTGCTGATGTTTTAATGTGGAAATTATTACACCAGCCTTTCAACTGAAACTATTTTCAGAGATAAATGTGTATGACTCTCAAAGTACTGGCCAAAGGCTTGACCTTTGGGCAATGTTTTACTTGGCTCATGAAAATGGGATTATTGCTCTCTGATTTTTTTCTTAATACTGTAATGACTTAATTTTATATCTTTGACATAATACTCCTTTTAAAAAGCTACTCATAGATTCCTTGTGGAAGCTGCTTTCTTTCCTTTGGGCTCAGCCCATTTCTTTATGCTTGCTTCAAGGCCCTGCCTTCCTTTAGTGTTCCGTGATTTGGAGCAGGCATCTTTGCTTGCTTGATTCACATTAACTGTGCTTTGAAAAATAGAATCCAAAAAAAAAAAAACAAAAAAAGAACAAAAACAATTTGATTTTGTGGTTCCATCTTTCACCTGGCCTCCTGCTCGGTCTAATCTTGATATGATACCTTGCCACCTCCCAAATCAGAGGCTGTGGTTCAAGCTTCTTTCTTCTTCTGAGCATCCAGGTCAGGTCGACAGACCCTTGAATAATAGCACCTAGGTATATAAATACATGCTCCGTGAAGCAGCAGCATCCCAGGGCCCAGACAGGAGGAGCGCCCTAGCACGCTGTCCTGGTGGTAAAGGAGATGGGAAAGCTGACACTGCTCGACACCGCTTTGTCTCGCTATTCTCATCTGCCACCGAGCTATTCCTGGCCCCCAGCTCTGTGTCTGCTGCTGAGCATCAGGTCCAGAGATAACATCCCACTTGGGAGCAGGTGCACCCTGGCCTATGGGCACAAGTGTTTCTGATTAATCTAAATGCGTTGGCACAGGGGTGCTGAGACTCCTCCCCTGATGCCAGGTGTCCTTTGAGGATCACCGGTGTCCCCTCCTGATCAGGTGACAGGAGCCTTGGGACAAATTGTGGACCCCCGTTCTTCCTAAGGGATTTGTGCTGGGACACCTCAGAGAGCAGGGAGGTAGTGCTTCAGTAGTACTTAAATGTAGGGTGATGTGTTGCCCTTGTGAGTTCATTAAATATTATAGTTCTTAACTTTAGCTATATATATATAGAGTATTAGAATCATCCCTTAATTAAAATGTGGTTTTTATTTATTGGTTTAGTCAAGATATAGTCATACATTTCATAGGCAATAGGTAAGGTATCTTTCTGTCTTGATTTTAATTTGGAGCAAGAATTGTCTCCTGTAGGGAATGCACTTTGATTTCAGTTATAAGAAAACATCACACATAGAATGAAAAACACTTCCAAAATGTAAATTTATTTTCTGGTTTCCTGGAGGAAGCTGATGAAAGAATGCTGTGTTAATCTAATTTGATCCATGCTTGCTGCCCTGATTTAGTGATCATGAATATTAATTAAACACAGAGAATTTTAAATGAAAATAAAACATTCTGAAGGATACAGACATGGCCTGAATGACATACACC